CAAATGAAGCAGGTTCTTATTTGAAGAAGAATTAGTAAAACGCAGAAAACACAGGCTCAGACCAAAATGTACTTTGGAGGTCCATAATCACACTGTACAGTATAAATCTGATTGCCTATGTACTGTTTAAATGCATATACACTCCAACTGTAACTCTGTGGTAGTTCCAAAGTATTAGAGTTAGAATGTGAACTCTGACTTGCAAGGGGGGCTAAATAGGAAGCTCTACCCTGTCAAAAATAAGAACCTAAACAGCCTGATTTAGTTGATTTCTCACTGGACATCCAATATATAAGAACCATTTCAACCTGTCTTGGAAAAATAGGGGTTCTTATACGCGAGTTTTTACAGTATGCTGAAAGTATAGGCAACTGTATTCTTCAACTAGTTCCATGTACAATATGCTTTCATTTCTCCAACAGCAAAATGCCAAACAAAGGTTACGAGACGATAACAAGCGACGACGATGAAGTGGACACAGATTCTCAGTCTCATCCTTCGATGTCGGCAAATGTCCTTTCCCTTTTCTCCTTTTGGTGGATGAACAATGTGTTCAGAACAGGAAGTAAGCGACCTTTGAAACAATCGGATTTCCTACCGCTCCACGAGAAAGACAGAACACGTGATCTAACAGAACGACTTCAGGTGGAATGGAACATTCACGTACAAGAATGTAACACGACTGAGGGTAAACAACCCAAACTTTGGAGATGTGTTTTGAGAACGATCTCCTGTAAGGAGATTCTATTTCTAATAAGTTTTTGGCTCCTGGAATCCATCTGCCGTGTTTCACAGCCACTTGTGCTTGGTTACCTTCTGCGCTTGTTAAGTTGCCGCCAGGCTGACCGGCCTCTTGCAATCATTTTTTGTTTGCTCTTGTCACTGAGTGGATTATCGACCGCCTTAACACATTACTCCGCTTACAGATTCGAGCTGCTTGGTATGAGGCTGAGCAGTGCTATTAAGGGAATTATTTATCTCAAGGTAAGGATCTGCTAAACTTTATTGCTTATCTGAAGCTTATGAATGATAGAGCGTTTTTCAATTGAGTGTCGAAAGTAATCACTGAATTGCTTTGGTTTTGCTTTACTACGCTTTCTGATTGGTTTAAAAAAAACTCGCGCCACCTACTCAACCAATCAGATAGATGCAAAACAAAACCAATCACGACTTGGTCACACGCGTTTTCCCGCGCTTGGCGCCGGTTACGTATATTTGCTTCGAATTTTCATTGGTTCGTTGTGTTGTTCACGTTTGTTGTGATTGGCCATTGCAATTGCTTTGGTTTTGCGACACTTTAAAAAATAATAATAATAAACTATTTTTATCGAGTGCTTCCACTAACACAACACTTGTCCTCTCCAGACTGTACTCAACGTTCTCTCAGTCTCAGTTTTTCCATGTTAACGAGTTTTCCTCGCATTGTCTGTAGATTCCTCTGATCAGTCAGCAAAGCCTTCGGGAAACGACAACAGGAAATGTCATTCATCTGATTTCAAATGACGTGCAAAGAATTGAGCTGGCCCCCAGATGGATATTTACCGCATTCATGTCCGTGTTGGAGCTCGCAGCTGTAGTTTTCTTGCTGTTGTACCTGATCGGTTGGCAGCCAGTCATGGGAATTCTGTTCTTACTGATGCTACTTCCTTGTTTTGTTGTAATCTCGGCTCTTTGTGCTCAGCTTCGTCAGGAGACCGCTGAAGTGACTGACCGCCGTATTTCACTTATGAACGAGCTTGTGTCTGAGATCCGTGCTCTTAAGACACATGCGTGGGAGGAAAACTACAGAGAAAAAAAGTACAAGAAGTGAGAAGGTGAGCGGAGAGGATTATCGCAAACTGTTTATCATGTTTCTTATACAAACTGTATAACACATCGTCTGTAAGGTAACATACTCTGGATGAGAGGGCCGGGAGGGAGCTTTTCTGTTTTGATTTTTAATGTTTATACTACATTTCATATCTGAACCCCGACTCACCCATTGGGTATCTTTGATTTAACAGGCCATTTCCCAGTTACGAGGCCGGTACAAAAACTTTCAGTTGCATATATGCATTTAACTGGAATGTTCGGCATTTTCCTGCAAATCAATCTCATTTTCACATGTAAGGTTTTGCACCAGGGCTCATTTTGAATCAAAGGCAATTCAGAAATGGCCAGAGGTCTATAACTAGAGGTTCCCATCTAGCACTGCGCGCGGGAAAACAGATTCGCGTCTGGAGAAGTAGTGGCGTATACCGAGGTATGCTGGCGTATGCTTTAGTTATAGACCACTGAAATGGCCCATAGCTATTCGTTATCGTTGTATATATGTTTTTTTCTCTTTTACTTTTCAGGAGTGAAATTGGGATTATCCTTAAAAAGAGCGCGCTGTTGTCGATCATAGAGAGTTTTCTCTTCGTCGCAGGGACCGTGGCAACATTCATATCCGTTTTCGCTCTCGTTCGTACCGGATATGTTCTCTCTCCTTCTTCAGCCTTTATGGTGCTGGCTTTTATGAATGTTCTTCGAATTACGTTATCTCTAAGGTTAGGTAACGCTATCCCTTAAGCATTTGAGTTGTTGGTCTCCTTGAGAAGAATCGAAAACTTTCTGTTGTTGGATAACATGCCTCTGGATCCTTTAGAATACATGAACCAAACGTCTTCTGGCTTAGAGGATATTCTCAAAACTATAGATACTTACGCGCCAGTGCTGGTAAGAAATCCATCATTATCAAAGCACAAACTAGCTATTGAGAAAGGCAACTCTGATGAAGTACGTCCCGTTTCTGGTAATGAAGAAGTCGAACAGTTAGATAATATTCCTGAAAAACGCGATGTGAACTTATCAGTTACAAATCTCTCTTGCAAACTGTGTGAGTCTGGAGAAAAGTATTTGCTTCAAGATGTCAGTTTTGATGCATCAGCAAAAAGTCTCACCGTCATAACTGGTCAGGTTGGTAGTGGAAAGTCAACACTTCTGGCCGCGATCGCGGGCGAGATAACACAATCAAGTGGTAATATAGTCTGTTCTGGAACAATAGCTTATGTATCGCAAACTGCTTGGGTTTTCTCTGGGACTCTCAGAGAAAACGTGTTGTTTGGTGAGCCATACGACGAGAAGAAATACGCTGAAGTTATCGACGCATGCGCCCTGAAAGAAGACATCAACAGATTTTCAAATGGCGACCTCTCGTTTGTTGGAGAACACGGTGTCGCGATGAGTGGAGGTCAGCGGGCTCGTCTGAACCTGGCACGCGCAGTGTACGCAGATACAGATGTGTATCTATTGGATGATCCACTAAGCGCTGTAGATGCCAAGGTCAGTGGACACATATTTAACCAATGTGTTTGCAAGTTGCTCAAAGACAAGATCATTATCTTGGCGACATATGCAGAAAAGCACATGAAGGCAGCCGATCAAGTTGTGGTTCTCCACAAAGGCTCTCTGCTGGGAAAAGGCAGCTTTGATGAATTGCAAGATGGCGGGAAAATTCTTGATTCTATCAAAGATTCATCTGACACCTCCAACAAAGAGAATGCAAGTTCAAGGACAACGGATGAAAATACCATAGATCACTCTTGCTCCAAGCCAGTCATTGGCAGCTATGATGAAGATTTGGAGATTTCAGAAGAAGAAAAGGCCACTGGTAGTATCTCATTTAGACTGTATTGGGATTATTTCAGAGCTGGAATACATCCCGTTGCTATGATTTCTGTGGCTGTTCTTTTCCTGGCAACACAGCGTGAGTAATTAGACGATTAGATCGAAAATATATAGACTACGAGCAGTCCCTCATTTTTCTCAGGGATAGTCGAGTGGGAGAGCACGCGTCTCCTCGAGGTGATTTTCGCGCGCGCTCGCATGCTCTCCCACTCGACTATCCCTGAGAAAAATGAGGGACTGCTCGTAGTGTAGAAAATAGATTATATGGCAAACTGGTCCATGATGAAAAGGAGCATTCTGATTTAGTTCTCTGAGCGGTCCGAATTTTGCAATACGGAACGCAAAGATGGACCGTTCACGAACTCATTTCGATTTTTTAGACGCAGGGCCCCTATGGATACCAGCCTAGAGCTGAATGGGCCACCCTGCTTAAATAAAGATTTACTACTACTACTAGATTCCATTTATGAAACATTGAACAAAAGAAAACTGTTTTCTATTAAGTAGAAACAGTTTTCCTTATGTCTGGCGGACAATTTCGGTCAAACTTTTCACAAAGTGGCCTGAAAAATGCCCCTGGGGGACTCCCATGTGAAAGGGGCGGGTATACTCGTCGGAAAATTTGAATTAAACCACAGGCCTAAAGGAAACCAATCTGGGCGTGGCTCAAGCTTTATTTGACCACTAAAATATATCATTCTAAGAGACTCGGACAAATGAAGTTGAACGGACAAATCGATGAACGGTAATGGGACTGTTAAATGATGGTTGTGAAGACATTTTAAAGATTTCATGCCTGATCGGTTCAGACCACAATTCAATTTTAAAGATAGAGTGGTTTTCAATTGAAAGTGTCGAAAGTAAACATGCGTTTGCTTCGGTTTTGCTTTACTACGCTCTCTGATTGGTTCGAAAAACTCGCGCCACTTTCTTAACCAATCAGATGCCAAACTAAAACCAATCGTGACTTGGTCACACGCGTTTTCTCGCGCTTGGCGTCGGTTACAAGTATTTGCTTTGAGTTCTGATTGGTTCCTTGTGTTGTTTCGTCTGTTGAAATTGGCCAGAGTGATTACAGTCAAAGCTGTCGTTGCGACCGCTCTCGTAAGCGACCAAGCTCGAGTTACGACCACCATTGTGAAACCCCGTTTGACTGAATTGTCACTCAAACTCTGTAATTAAAGCTCTCGTAAGCGACCAGCTCTAGTTACGACCACTTTTTCGAATTCCCGAGGTGGTCGCTTAAGAGAGCTTCGACTGTACTTTGGTTTTGGTTTTACTGCACTCACTTAAAAACCGCTCTAAAGGTTCAAATTCACTTCAAATTCACATTTGAACAAAGCTCCCACGCGTCTCTTGTAGCTCAGTGGTACTAGTAGAGCGTCCGACCGGTTTCTGGAAGGTTCATAGGTTCGACTCCTGTTGGGAGAACTCGAAATTATCTTAGTATCTGAGTAGCAAGTTGAATGCATTACTAAAAAATCAGAAGAAGCATTGGTATCCTCTCTAAACTGCGTTATTATGTAAGTCTAGATATTCTTTTAAGCTTATATTATGCCCTTATATATCCTTTTCTGACCTATGGAATAATTATCTGGGGAAATACCTATAAGACCACTCTTCAACCAATTTTCATTTTGCAAAAAAAAGCAATACGAATAATTACTTTCTCTAGATTCGACGAGCACACTAGTCCATTATTTAAATCTCTTGAAATTATAAAATTTTTTGATCTTGTAACTCTACATATAGCAACTTTTATGTATAAATATCATAATCACCTATTACCATCTGTCTTTCATTCCTTCTTCACTAAAATAAAACGAATCCACAACTATAACACAAGGCTTGCTGCAAAACAGTCTTATTATCTTCCAAAAGCAAGAACAAATTATGGAATATTTAATATAAGATTTCAAGGCCCATCAATATGGAATGCCATTGACGAAGAAATGAAATCTTCTTCCTTGTCTTTATTTAAAAGAAAATGAAACAACACTTAATCAAAGATTACTAGCTTTCTGTACATCGCTCCTCTTGGATAAAAATGCTGTTTTGCAACACAATAATTATTATCCTTATCTATTATTTATTATATTAGTCTACTGGTAGTTAGCGTAACTCTGTTTTATTCCTATTTTTGCGTGTGTGCGTGTGTGTCTTTGTTTGTTTGTGTGCCCGACCTTAACATGTAAATTATATATTTATATTAACTGGCTGCCTGGCATTTTTAACTTCTAGGTTATTTCGGGTAGCCAGTACCCCTATTATTTTTTTTCTGTCCAATTATTGTAAATACTTTTAGTAACTTGTGGGGTAAAATAAAGTTTGTTGTTGTTGTTGTTGTAGCTTGTGTCACTGACTGAATACAGTCAACTCTCTAAGACGGACACCATCGGGACCGGCACCAACTGTCCGTCTTAGAGAAGTGTCCGCTTATAGAGAGTTTAGATACAGTAACATGACTGGAAAATGGCGCGCAGGGACCAACACCAGGTGTCCGTTTTATAGAGGTGTCCGTTAAGAGAGAGTTGACTGTAATAACTTTCCGGCTCATAATCACGTTTGTTGTTTTCTTCTTACGCAGTGGTTATGGTGTCTCCTGACGTATGGCTCTCCAATTTATCCAAGAAAACCTCGGAATACCAACAACAAGAAACAACCTTGAGCATCTATGCAATCCTGGTGTCCGCTGCCTTCGTTTTTGCTATCATCCGTGCCTATATTTTCTTTCGTGTCTGCCTCAGATCTTCTGAAAATCTCCATGATAAAATGATAACTTGTGCTTTACGAGCCCCTTTACTGTTTTTCGACACAAACCCTGCAGGACGAATCTTGAACAGATTTTCCAAAGACATCGGCTGCATTGACGAGCTTCTACCCAAGACATTCCTTCTGGCTCTCCAGATGATCTTGTTTGTATTCACGGCAGCGCTGTTGCCTTCGTTCACCAACTACTGGCTGTGCCTTGTTTCCTTGCCCGCATTCGTCATTTTTCTTTACCTGGCATGTTATTACTTGAAGGCTTCTCGAGAGTTGAAGAGATTGGAGTCCATCTGTCGCAGCCCTGTTTTCTCACACTTTTCAGAGACCATGGCTGGCTTGGACACCATTCGCACTCGAAAAAGGGAAAGAGATTTCATTGATCAGTTATACCGGTGAGCTTTTTTGAACGTTGATAGCAAACGTTATCTTTCATGTTTATTTATTCCAAGTAGTGTGACCACAAGGTGATTCAGTCTAACTTGTATTAAGTAGTCTGTGGACGGGTGGAAACTCTAGTACCGTAAATACTCGAATAAGCGCTTATTTCAAATTTCAGGTTTTCTCTTGTAAATTCCATAATTGAACAAGTTGTATTTTTATACAATTATATTTTTGGCAAGAAATCTGTAGTAATTCTGCCTTTTCTTACTTCATACATTCGTTTTGACTGCATTTAAGGATAGGGGTAGGTTTATATTATGATTCTATAGGGGCGCTTATTCAAGGGGAGGCGCTTATTCGAGGATTTATTGAGCAGTACTTTCATATGGTACTGTCTATTATGCTGTACAAGATGATTCTAACTTTTAAATATGTGGATGAAACCCTAGTGTGTGACCATTTAAATGAAAGCTATCGAGCAGTACTTTCATGTGGTACAGTGCTGTACAAGTCCACGCACAAATATCCGAGCATATTTTTGAAGCCAAATGGAGGCTACTGTTTATGCGATTTTGCAATAAGACACGATGAGTGTCTAGAACTAGACTTACGGGGAGGGAGATTATCTCAAGGATTTAATTTGCGCCGTTGAGAGTCCGTGGGGTATTACAACCATGGAAAATGCTTTACAATGCTCATTAATTGATCCCCAGGCACCAAGATCTGCATAATCAAGCGTTTTCTATGGTAGCAGCAACAAGTCGGTGGCTTGGAGTAAGAGCTGACGTCCTATGTTCATTCTTTATCACTTCAATCGCCTTGGTTGCCCTTAGGGTCTGTGAGAATTCAGGTATGAATTTATCCTGTAAAATTCTCCGCACTAAAAGGGTTCCTCAAAATTCGGATAAAAGCGAGCTTCGAATTTAGGTCCCATCCACACTAATGCGTTTTCGAAACGCTTCGTGTTTTATCGAAAACGCGTCAAAAACTCCGCGTCCACACTATCGTTTTCGCAGCGTTTTCGGCTCCGCCCACATTAAACGCTCGAACACGCTCAAAAACGCTACAACAGTCATCTGCGCATGCGACAAATAGACGTCAATGACGGAAGAATGACGTCAGCGTTTTCAAATGTATGCGTTTACGATGAAAACGATCAGCGTTTTCGGTCGTTGTAGTGTGGATAATAGGCGAAAACGCATCGAAAAGTATGCGTTTTCAAGCGAAAACGCATTAGTATTATACCCGTAAGTGCCTTCGCGTTGGAGACAAGTTCGACAAATAGTTAGTGCATCAGAGTCTGGATCGGAAAGTTCGAGTTTGAGCTCTCGGACTGGGATGGTTGTATTGTGTTTATGGGCAAGACACTTCACAGCGCCACCCTCCACTCAAGAGTATAAACAGGTACCGGTAACTTGTTAGGGAAACCTGACAAAATGCTTGGGGGTAACCTGCGATGTACTAGCATCCCATCCAGGGGGAGTAGCAATATTTCTAGTCATTTTGGAGTTTAGCCCCGTTTTCTTGTCCCGCAAGGCTCAGGAAATGTGTGCGTTCCCCGCTGTTGTCTTCGTTCGAGGAACATGCTCGGCCCAGCCTTCATACATTTCAAAATCCCACAAAAAGGAAAGCACCCTTATCATATTCTTCCATCTGAATATTTTTTGGACGGAGACGCATGCGCAAGTAGATGCAAGTTGTCAACTTGCGTCGTTTAGCCAGGACTTGCATGACTTGGGTTCACTTTGATCGAGATCAAATTTGCGCACAAGTAGACACAAGTTTTTCACCGTTTGGCCACCCAACGCAAGTCAACGCTTCGAGTACTGAATTGCAGCGCGCGCAGGAGCATTGAAATGAAAACTTGCGTGCACTTGAGAGTAAACTTGCGCGTTCGTTTGGCCACCCAACGCAAGTTTGTACGAAAGTTCATATTTTTAAACTTGCGTCTACTTGCGTCTCCGTTTGGCCAGGGCTTAAGAAAGGAGAAAAACCCCTGTTTACATATTTTTAACTATGGAACTTTATTTTCGTTTACAGCATTAGCTGGTCTTGCTCTTGCTTACGGCATTGAAACTGCCAACATTTCCCAATATGCTGTGCGACAGTTTTCAGAGGTTGAGAACCTTATGACGTCAGTCGAGCGAGTCTTGACCTACACTAATATCGAATCAGAGCCGGGATACAATATCAAAACGCTTCCACCAATAGAATGGCCTCGTGATGGTCACGTGAGCTTTAGAAATGTTGCCTTGAGGTATTACCCAGGCGGACCACAAGTGCTGAAAAATTTAAGTTTTGAAATTCAAGGGAAAACGAAACTTGGTATCGTTGGCCGAACCGGAGATGGAAAGTCGTCCATTGTAGCAGCTCTTCTACGCATGCCCGAAGCTGAAGGAGACATATTCATCGATGACGTGTGTATAAACCGTATTCAACTGCAAGAATCGCGAAGATGTATTTCTGTTCTCAGCCAATCGCCTGTCCTCTTTTGTGGATCTCTTAGAAAGAACCTCGATCCTCTGGAGAAACATAGAGACGATGAGCTATGGAATGTTATCGATGAAGTGAAACTTAATAGCTTGGTTGAAAGCCTCGAGGGTAAACTTGACTTTGAGTTGTTAGAGAAAGGCGGGAATTTAAGTGTTGGTGAACGGCAGTTGATCTGCTTGGCTCGCACGTTACTACAACAAAGCAAGATCGTCATCTTGGATGAGCCGACGGCGCACGTAGATCCCAATACAGAGAGAACAATTTGGACCACCGTTCACGACAAAATGAAGAACTCCACCATCATTACTATAGCTCATCGTTTGAACACCGTCAAAGACTGTGACGTCATCTTAGTGTTAAGAGAAGGCCAGGTGGCTGAGCTGGACAGCTTTAATGCTCTCATCAGCCGGAGGGAGGAATTTTTTACAACATGGCCGCTTCTCAAAATTTATTCCTTTAGGATGTTTTTGTGGTAAACACAACTTAGTGTAGGGAACAACATTGTAATGATCGCAACAATAGGATCATTTAGGTAGCTATTTTAAATAATATTCTTAAGGTTATTCCTTAGTATTGCACTGCGCATCATTTCTGCGCATAATTTTGTGCGTAATTAGCACGCGCGCACATTAAAAACATGGCGGCTTTTTCTAGGTGGCAATGCTCGCCCGAGAGGTAAGTGCTCGTTTTCTCGTAAACGAGCACCGTGACCTATCATTTTTTCCCGCATATTTTAAGTCTAGTAATCATCTTCTTTCTATACAATTCCTATTGCAGAAAAATAATTAAGC